TGCTATTTTAGACTGATTAGTGTTAAAGAGCTTAAATTGTCATAATCAATATTGTACAAAAAGAAAACAGTACAAATCCAAAACACCAAGATACAATCCTTTAAATTTGAACAGTCGCTAAAGAATGCTCTAGATATATTAATATTAACCGGAAAAAAGTGTGATCATTATGGTACATTTTGATACTTCCAAAAAGAGATAATGTCTGAGCAGCTTATGTTGAAGGCAATAACTTTTGCTTGTGTCAATGTTTAAAAACATTTTTACGATATTGATCATAATGCCTTGAGCTAGTAATGCAGCATCGGAAACTTATATCTTAGAAAGAAATACTGCTTTGAATGTAATCACAACTTGCAATAATTGTATAAGATTCCCCCCCCCCTCCGGACTCCCAATAAAAAAATAAAACATAATAAAACAAAACAAGCAAAAAATACCCCCCCCCCCAAAAAAAAACACACCAAACATAGATCTAATCTTTGTTGTCTCAGTACTGTAAACTTACATAAGTGTTCAACATTATCAGATAGTTGTAGAACGTGATTGCGACTGATATTTGAGAAGGTTTTGTGTTGCTGTAGCTGTGATGGTCATACGCAATATTGTATGTTATAAAGAAGGAAAACATGATAAACCAGAAAGAGCATGCTGTAAAACTTCTAGTTTGAGATGTCTTTGAGAGAATATTCTCCCGATTCACAGGTAAAAAGTGTTTAACATACTATTTATTTTGATACTTCCATAAAGCGATTTGTTTGACCAGCTCAACATGGAAACAATAACTTTTGCTAGTGTCACTTTAAAAAAAAATCATTTTCATAATTGTTCATTATTGATCATCACGCCCTGAGGTAGTAGTTAAGGATGTGAATTCGAAACTGATACTTTAGAATCCAATACTGATTTGGATGTAATCAGACCTTGCATCAATTGAATAATCCCCCCCCCCCCCCCCCCCTAAAAATGATAATAATAAAATAAAATAAAATAAAAACGCAAGCAAAAAAAAAAAAAAAGAATAAGATAAAAGATAAATTTTTAACAAGTAACATAAGATCAACAACAACAAAACCACACATGAAAAACTTGTAAAAATATTTGATTTCCCTTTTTAAAACTTCCTCAAATTACATTTAGACACTTCTGACTTAATATTGAATTCATGTTAACAATATATTTTGTATGTTCGCTGATCAAAATTAATGCTTTAACTACAGCAACTTAGTATCTTTTAATTTTATCAAACTTAGTTTTATTGCCCTGTTGCTGTAAGCCCATGGATTTATTGGACACCCTTGTAATTTACAACATTTTTAGCTTATGTTGTGATTTGCTGTCTGTATGCCTTGAATTTTTTACTACATAATTAACCTATAATGTCCAGTTTTCAAACTAGCAGCTGAGGTGAACTATCTGAAGTCTATAATTCTGTCCTTGAAAGTCAACACCTATTAATTGTCAATGTGTCCAGTTCAACATTACGATGTATATTTATGTTTTGTTTTCTTTCTCTTTTTATATTTTCAATGTTTTTAATAAAATCTGTAAATTAAAAAAACAAACACTTGTTATTGTTATATATATATATATATATGTCACACATTATCAAGGACATTATATTTGTTTTCGTG